GGGGGGGTTGGCAACCCTAATTTCCCAAAACTCGATCAGAGATTTAAATTGAGGCAAGGCTCTGGCCTAAACCCTCCTTTCAGTGTCTGGGCTCAATTCTGAAACATGTCAAGCAGAGGCACCTTTGGAATCCTGACGCAGTGTGGTGGGCGCACCCGCAGAATGGCTGCCTGCCGCAAAGAGGTGGAGCCAGCCATAAAACGATTGCCACAGCTTGACAATGTAGATGCTGTAGTGGCAGCCGCGATATTTTAAAAAATATGTACAGCCGATGTTTTTAAAAATATGTACGACCGATCAGAAGCCCTTGCTGGGCAGAGACCCCACCTGGCCTGCCCGCTTTAAAAGCACTTGGGGCACCGGGACACTCCACACTGGAGGACCCCTGGTGTAAAGCAGTCAGTAAAGAGTGGGAATGCGTCTCGGCAAGTGCAGATCACGAAGTTGTGGGAACGAATGAAAGGAAGCTGGATTTGGAAAGTGGACTGTGTGACCAACAACAACAAAAAATTCCCCCACGTTCATTTCCACTGATTTCCCACCTATGTTTTCCCACTCTCCAAATTGGGAAATTCTCAAGGGTTGCACCTACAGGCGTGTAGTGCTGTAGTGGCAGCCGCGATATTTTAAAAAATATGTACAGCTGATATTTTTAAAAAATATGTACGACCAATCAGAAGCCCTTGCTGGGCAGAGACCCCACCTGGCCTGCCCGCTTTAAAAGCACTTGGGGCACCGGGACAGTTGTTGGCGGTACCAGGGCACCCACACACTCCACACTGGAGGACCCCCGGTGTAAAGCAGTCAATAAAGAGTGGGAATGCGTCTCGGCAAGTGCAGATCACGAAGTTGTGGGAACGAATGAAAGGAAGCTGACCAACAACAACAACAAAAATCCCCCACGTTCATTTCCACTGATTTCCCGCCTATGTTTTCCCAGTCTCCAAACTGGGAAATTCTCAAGGGTTGCACCTACAGGAGTGCGCCTCCCAATTTGTTAGGCAGATAGAGGAAAAAACGTCACTGTTCTCTTGGAGTGAATTGGTGTACAATCTTTTCCTGGGATCCTCGTAGAAAAGGGGGGCTTCAAACAAACGGAGCGTGAAGGAAGCCCCAAACCCTGCCTCTTACACACATTTTAACTCACTGCTCTCTGGAGCTTTCAGTTGTATCATCAGGGGAAGAAATGTTTTTAACCCAGGAGTAAAAGTTGGATGGAGCGGGGCTTTGCTCCACTGATCCACATAATCCATCTAGGTTTAAAAATAGCCACACAGACTGGGGTCTTTTTGGCTGGCAGGTCACAGCTGATTTATGACTCCTCATGGGGTTTTCAAGGCAAGAGAGTCACAGACGTATTTGCCGTCGTCTGCCTCTGCATTGCTACCCTCGATTTCCTTGGTGGTCTCCCATCCAAATACTAACCAGGGCCGACCCTGCTTAGCTTCCGAAATCTGACGAAATTGGGCTAGCCTGGGCCATCCAGGTTAGGCTAAGAGAGGAACAGAGGCGGTTTCCCATCACCTGCCTCTGCGTAGCGACCCTGGACTTGCCAGGTGGTCTCCCATTCAAGTACTAATCCGGGCCGGGTGATCAGACACAACCGCAGGTGAGTTATGGGTTTGGAGGTTTTTTGCCGTTTGTTTCCAATGTGAAGAGCTGCGGTGGCTCAAGTGGTTAAGACGCTGAACTGCAGGCTGTGGAAGGTCGGTAGTTCAACAGTTCGAGACCCAGGGTGCCGCATGACGGAGTGAGCTCCCGTCTCTAGTTCCAGCTCCTGCCAACCGAGCAATTCGAAAGCAAGAAATTGCAAGTCGATAAATAGGTGCCACTTCGGTGGGAAGGGAACAGCGTTCCGTGCGCCTTGGTGTTTAGTCATGCCAGCC